AGCCCACTTTCCATTAATCAGAATGAACAACCTCACCCAAACAATTATTTGCCTTAGTTGATACATAGTAGTTGGCAATTATTTATAGAATTGGAATTTGGCATTCTAATATTGAAGACTACAAACATACCATAAGAGCACAACACCACAAAATGTACTTGTATCCACAATAAAAAACTTTTCAAGTGCACTTCACTTTGTCAAGCTGAACTACAATATAAAAATTACACTACTGAGATTTCCTCTTGCTTATATTCACAAATCTAGTTGGGCCTTGCCTAACCATTCCTTAACACTATGAAAGTAAGACATGGTAGAACTGCAGGAGCTATGAGAAACATGAGAAATATCTGAGATACCTACCTAAGCAAAAGTGTTCATTGTTTAGGTGTAGCAAAAGGCCTCCTGTTATCAATGTCTATAACCATCCTTTTAAAGATATCTTTTATATCATTCTATGAGATGGTGTTCATCCTGCCTGAAGGGGAGGATGAGCAGAATCCCAGTAGTTTCATTACACCATGTAATTGACAATCTTCACTGGTAATGGCAATGAATAAATTCATAACATTTTATTTCTTGAATGATCGGTGTCCCATAAGGAGTAAATTCATCAAATCAGCATAGTGACCATAACCATCCACCAATCTTTTCTTTGCCTCAGCCACCATAGCTTCTACCACAACCACAAGGGACTCAATCATCCAGCACAAATTTCAAGTAACTAGCACTGGGACTACAGCATGATGGCTCTTTCTTCTCAATCAAGGAATAAGACCTTATTCCTACCAATGGCTTAAATACAATAAATTCCATAATCAAGATTTACACTGACAGATAACAGAAATATCCTTTTTCTGTACAGTCACTGGATTGGCTATTATATCCGCTAGTAATATGAAAATGGAATAGGCATGCAACATGCAATATCTTCCCAAATACATTGCAACAGTAGCATAGTAATCTCAAAAATATTCTGCCTCTTCCACCACTTGGTGAGAAGGATCTTCCAATAACTTTTCTTAAGATAACAATGATTATAGTACTTCCTTTTTCATAATGAAATAATTGGAGAGAGATCAATACTGCTCTGTAGACCAAAAAGGCCATAGCATATATGATTAAGATGCCATTTCTTAGAGAGACAACCATCTAGGCTAGGCTTTAGGTTGGACTTGGCATAAGACCAAAATTCTGAGAAGATGACAACTTTGAAGATCTCTAGCAATTCACTTTAGGTTCAAACATTGTAACCCATGATGAGGTTATCTCCAGTCTGTTCCTCAACAATAAGACCTTAACATATAATTACAAATGGTTGAATCTTTCAATGGTCATACCAAACAATAATCTTATCACTTGAGCATCAAAGTAAGCTTTCACCCATCTAAAACCCAAATTTCATCAATAGAACTTCACTCTATCGTGCGTGTTAGACAGTTTTGTATGCCCTTAGCTTCAATCAGAATGATGTACTTTATGAGTTTATTGTAAATGAATAAAGATACATATTTGATTCATGTT